TTCCTGGATAAGGTATAATTTATTGATCAGAAGAAAATATGCTGTGCATTGCAAGTGGAAACCAACTGCTTGTCAAATACACACAAGGAGAATTCCAATGGCAATTTACAAGGACTTCAGAAATATTGGGGAAACTATTGAATGAAGTGAAAAATAAGATTGATTTTGTGGGGAAAAAAATCCTATAAAAATTCATACATCTAGATCACCTAACATAGTCATTCTAGGAGCTGAGGTGAGCGTAATGAGGAAAGTCTTATTTCATAATATAATGAATATACATCCATTGGTCTGAAGGCATCGGCTATTAATTGTTTTCATATAAGCGAGAGTATTCATAGAATTGTTAAGAAATGGCTGCAACTGAATACATAGACCCTTCATTAATCTTTTAACTGAGATTTAAAAATTGCAAGATCTTGAGCGTGAAAACGAAAAGCAGAAATGGATGTCAGAAAAACTTATAGTGAAAAGAATAGAAGAAGCCCTATATGTACAGATAGTCCCTGGTAATACAATCATTCATTTAGTGACCATTCAAAATTACAACAGTACTAAAAAAAGTGACCTATGACCTGTTTTCAAACGTACAATCATTGCCACATTCCCATAAAAATGGGAATGATGAAAATTTGGGTGTTTGACAGCTGGCATGTATTTATGATACAGTTGTCATGTGATCATATTTGTAACCTTGCAAGAAAATCAATGGTGGGAGCCAGATTTTCTTAACAACCACACGTTTCACTTAACAAAAGTGATTCACTTAACTGTGGCAAAAAAGTTGTTAAAGTTTGTAAAATGGAGCACTTAACAATTGTCTTGCTTAGCAACAGAAATTTTAGGCTCCATTGTGATCATAAGTTGAGTCCTTACGACTATAATGGAGTCTGCCCATTATGGTCATCAATCATGCTGGGTTGGTCACATGATCAACCTAATTTTATGACACTTTTTGGATGGCAGTTGTTAAGCAAATGCTGCAGTCATTAAGTGAAGTCACAATTTACTATGGACTGGTTTTGCTGCAAATTGGAAGTAAAACTTGTAAAACATGGTCACTTGACCGGAGGATGTTGCAAATGGCCATAAATGTGTTTTGGTTACCAAGCACCCGTATTACTGTCATGTAACCACAGAGCGGAAAACTGTTGGAACTTCAATTCCTTAAGTAGTACCTAACCAGGTAGGTCCATTGTAATCTCAAATGGTCACTAGTGATCAGTTATAAGTGGATGACTACCTGTATTCACTCAGAAGTAAGATGGAACATCCATAGGCAATTCGACTTACAAGAGAAGAGTTCAACTTACAAGAGACGAGAAGAGTATTAGAACTCTATTTGAGTTCTAAATAGAGAAAAATAGAAATTTGCATTCACGTGCCTGCCTCATAGATGACTTCTTGATTTGAAGTCCCTCTTGAGTCTGAAATTATGACTCTGGATCAGTTGTCATCTCCATCATCTTGTCATCTGCTATCTTGTCATTTCCAGATGACAAGACAGAATCGAAATCTGGAGGCCATATTGCCATAGCCTGCCTCTATGCGAATAGGGCAAATCAGTTCAGGTGTAAGGTGTTGTGGCCCGTCAGCGGCCAGCGGAGCTGGTGGCAGACTCAGATAGTGAGGAGGTTGGGGAGGAACATGGCCCAATCCTGGAGTCTGGTGAAGGCTCTGATGAGTGCTCTGCGTCGGAGGCAGAGATGGGTCCAGGGCCATCCGACAGTTATCAGCTACTTTTGGAGTCAGATATCAGTGAGGCAGAAGAACATCTGGAGCCTGTTTCTGATGTGCGCATGTGCAGAGCTGCCAGGAGAAGGGAACAGCTAAGGAACAAGGGCTGACTTGGGAGTAAAGGCATAGGTGGACGGTGAATGGCCCCTCCCATCGAGAATAAAGAGGAGCAAAAGGGGAGTGGAGTTTGCAGGAGACAATTAGTTCATTTTAGTAGTGTGAAGATCTGTCCGTGACTCAGAGACTCCTTGCCAAGTCTTTTCTTGTACAGCATTGCGTTTTGAAGATATCGGCCTGGCAGCTCTCCAAGCCTGATAAGATCTGTGGTTGTAAATTCACCCATAACGATTATTTGCCAGGACTTTGCTGGATGTGAATGAGAGGAATTCACATTAGCTTAATAAAAAGGGTTTTGTCGGGACAAGGAGTCTGCTGTGTGCTTTTGTGAAGCCTAGGTCAGAACATAAAGAGGAATGAATATGGCCTGAGAGTGATGGGCTCTGTTCCACAATACAGTCTGGACAGCCAGTAATCCAGATCTCTTTATGATGGGTTTGCCAGTCACAGTCACATTACCTGAGACAGAAATCACTATTACCCATTTTTTTTTGGAAGTGCTTAATATCACCAAAATCCTTTTACCTCTAGAGGCTTTCTGACTTTGTTTTATCCCTTCTCTTTCAGTCGGGCAACAAGAATAACTTGGCAATTGCATCCCCTCAGATTTGGGGGGAGTGTGTTGTGCTGCAGGCCTTAGCAATGGTAGTGTACAGGAATGGGTGACTCCAGGTGTCTTTCATCTCCTTTTCTAAGGGGACTAACAATAGTGACCTAGTTGTAATGTGAACATAGCAACATGTGGTTATAAACATAAAATTGAAGAAGGAAATACAATTATATCTTCTTCAATTCCCTTCTGCCTGTTTCCTCCCCATCTCTGCCCTTTGGCTTGCCCTACACTCTGCTGCCCCCAGCTGATCTTCCCCATCTTCTTCTCCCCATTGCTGAGGGGGAAGCCTGGCTCTTTGCAAGATAGCTGTTGGCTACCTGAGGCCTTCTGAAGGCAGTGGTGGGATTCAACTGGTGTAGCAACCAGTTTATTGAGGCGCGTTTGTTGAGGTGTGTGGAAGCCTCAGGAGGCCAAAAATGAGCCAATTTTGGGGTGGCAGAGTGGTTCTGGAGGCCGAGGAGGCCAAAAATAGGCCTGTTTTTGGCCTCCCCAGCCTCCAGGGAGAGAAAGGGAGGGAGGGAGGGAGGGAGGGAGAGAGAGAGAGAGAGAGAGAGAGAGAGAGATACACAAACAGAAGTCCCTCTCACACATCCAAAGGCAGCCACATCCCTTTACTAACCTGCTTTCCCCCCCCCCCAGGAGCATAACAAATTAAAGATTAATTTGTGTGTCTTGTGCTAAATTGGCCACACCCACCGAATCACATGACTACCTAGCCACACCCACCCAGCCGGTCTGGCCCCCCAACAGTCTGAGGGACCGTGAATTGGCCCCCTATTTAAAAAGTTTGAGGACCCCTGGTCTAGGCTATCTCAGAAGGCGATGGTAGATGGGACACAATGATGCCATTAGACTGAAAATAGTCACTAAGGCACAATATTGCATAGAGGTGGTGAAAATAAAATTTGGGTTATGCAGCATTCTGAATTTGAAGACAAAAAGGTTCTCTGGATGTAAAAGGTCAGGATGTAAAAAGAGCACCTGTTACTAACTCCAACTGTATATTTTCTTGGAATTGTAGTGCAAAGACAGCTTCACCCTATCCTTTGATTGTGTTATTGCTGACACATAACCAAATAGAATGTACAGACAGATTTCAATTGCATCTCATAAAGAGCTGGGCTGGTTCTATTCTATTTTCTTCTTGCAGTGAAATTACATTTAATCTTCTATAAATCAAAATGTACGTTTGTACACGCAGAAGAAGGGTTTAACATTCTGTCAGCTTATTAACTGTTGGTCTGTGCTACAGAACACTGTATGCTAAGTCATAATTGATTTGTTTGTCTGGCATACATAGAGACTATGATCTGAACTGATTCCTGGTTCTTCTCCAGTCACAATTTGAGATGTCACTTCTAACATATAAAGGTCTGGGACATCAATATTTGTGATAACTCATCTTTTTGTACATTTCTATGCATATCTTCAAGGTCATCCTCAAAGGACCTGTTGAAATTATTCTTCTGTGTTGAGATAAAGTCATCGTAACCCAGAGGCAGGCCTTCTCAGTGGTAGCCTTTTCCAATGGCTTATTATTTTGGCTTTTTTATATTAAGCAAATAACTTCTTATTCTCTGAGGCCTTTTAATAGGTTAATATTTTAACATTTTATACGTATATGCCTAGTGCACCTTGGCTAAACTCAAAAAGGCTAAGGCAGATCAAACCCAATTAATGGTTGGATAGGAGACCAAGAAGAAATATCTGAGCTGAAGATTCACGTAGTACGATGAACTTGCAGGGCCAGCGCAATGTTGTAACATGTTCACATGGGTGCAATAGGACTGGGTGTTTGTTAATATGATTTATTGGGTATGGGACAGTGGTGGGTTCCTCCCAGTTCGGCCCAGTTCTCCCGAGCCGGGAGCGGTGACGATATGACGTCGCCGAACCGATTCTGCCCCCCCACCCCCACCCCCACATTATTCTTACCTTTTATTTGGCCCCACCCCCAATCTATTGCTGCCTCCTGAGGCCCAGCTGATGGCTAGAGGGAAAAAAACTGTTTAAACTCTTCCCCGGGGCTTCAAAGGACCGCCCTATAGCTGATCAGTGTTAAAAGAAAACAATGAGTAGACCAGTGCCTGCAAAAATACATGAGTAGATCAGTGCCTGCAAAAATGAATGGGTAAACCAGTGCCTGCAAAAATACATGAGTAGATCAGTGCCTGCAAAAATAAATGGGTAGACCAGTGTCTGCAAAAAATGAATGGGTAGATCCATACACCTCTGCAAGCAGTTAAAAGCCTGGTAGACCAGTACCTCTGCTAAATCCTAAATAATTGTCACATGACCATCAAGCCACCCCCACAAAATAAGCCACGCCCACAGAACCGGTAGTAAAAAATTTTAGAACCCACCCCTGGTATGGGATTTTCTGTCTTCACTGTGAGTTATATTGCGATGTGGGGAGCGGGGTGCACTGAGGGAGCTCAACCAATCTCATTGTACATATTTTGTGCACTGACAATAAATATTTGAAATTTGAAATTTTGAAATTTTGAATGCTTTATCCACTTTTTTTTCCTAGGTGGAAATTCTTGACTGGAAGACAAAACAACAGCTCTGCTTCCTAGAAAAGGTTAGTAACCATAAACATCACTTTTTATATAATCAGGTTTATAGATCACTTTCTGAGCATTCGGAGATTTGTACAATATCTTCATACTGTAACTGGGTGCTTCCTTAATTATATCCTTTGCTCCCACCCACTCACCCTTCCAAAAAAAGAATATCTGCTTGCTTCCTGATAGAAAGTTTTCTGTTATCTAGGTTGAGCCACACACTACAATAAGTGACATTCAAGTGATGTTCCACAAGATGCGTGAGTATCTACATTTCAGAATTTATTTTAAAAGGGATGTCAGTGCTTAATTAAATCATACATAATTGTGAGGAGCATACAGAAATTCCTAAATGACATAAGCTTTCTCAAAGCCGAGCTAATAATTCTTTCTACTAATTGCTAAAAGTTTAAGCCAGCCTTTTTCACTGCAATGCTCTTCAGATGTGTTATGTATCTAGCTTTCCTTTCCCATTGCCTCTCAGAAGTAGACAAATGGCTGTCCTATGGCTAGAGTCAGAATGGGACAACTCGCTGCAGCCAACTTGCTGTGGCCAACTTACTGCAGCCAACTTGCTGTGGAACAATTTAACAATTCACTTTAATTATTTAAATCATTTAAATTTAAAGTTATTATTTAAAATAAATAAAAATTATTTAAAATTATTTAAAATAAATAAAAAAACTATTTTAATTTTTGTCATTCACATTTCATTTTGTCCCTCCTTTTGCATCCTTTCTTTTTGTTTTTTTTAAATTTGATTTAAATGCTGCCCTTCTCCGGAGACTCAGGGTGGCTTACAATGCGTTAAGCAATAGCCTTCATACTTTTGTATATATTTTATACAAAGTCGGCTTATTGCCCCCACAAACTGGCTCCTCATTTTACCTACCTTAGAAAGGATGGAAGGCTGAGTCAACCTTGAGCCTGGTGAGATTTGAATTTGCAGTAATTGCAGGCAGCTGATGTTAATAACAGTGCTTTAGTCTGCTGCGCCACCAGGGCTCTTTGATATTAGTGTAACTCTTGTCCCGCAGTGAGTTGTCTTGTGGTGAGTTGACCATGGCTAGTTGTCCCGCGGCATGTTGCCTGCAGCAATTTGGCTGTGTCGTGTTGGCCACGGCGAGTTGGCTTTGGTGAATTATCATAGATCTGGCTAGAGGGTATCAAATTGGTGAAGACTGGCTTAGGGTTTTCTGGGTTGAGTTAGCAGTACAGATCTTGCAAAGCTCATTTGGTAAAGCAGAAAGTGGTTGCCAGAAAAATTCCAAAAAGTTTGTTTTGGAATTTATATACTTATTTTATTTTTAAATTTTATTTGCCACTGTCTCGCTGCAAGGCGACTCTGGGAGGCTTACAACAGTAAGCATAGATGTTTATCATTTATATATTTTATCTTTATACGTGCTTTTATTCAGAAATGTATTCACATATGATTATACATGTTTATATTACTTTTGCCAGAAATGTTGTGTAATACTTTGGAAATCAATCCCACCAAACCCAAACAGGCAAATTATAGAAAGAATGAGTAAAGAAGTGATTTGCACGAATTGAGATTTTTTATAATTTGTTGAGTTTAAAATGGAAAGTCAGAGGACAGGAAGGTTGTGTTTTTAATTATGCATTTCTGTTTTTCCCTGTAGATCCTCAGTGGTATCCAGCAAGACAATCTATAAGGCTTGATCCTAGTAAGTATCAAGTGTGTGTGTGTGTGTGTGTGAGAGAGAGAGAGAGAGAGAGAGAGAGATTAATTTAAACATTGCAGTTTTCTCTAAATCAAAGCAGTTCATTCAGATTACGATGTTAAAATCTTTTCAAAAAATTAGTTCTTTGCTAACATATCTAAGTCGCTGCAGAAACATATTTAATTAGCATTTTGAATTCTGTGAAGTGAGATCTAGACTCCTGCATCCATAGACAGAAGTGAGGCTGTTTAAGAGGGAGGGGGAATCAAAATAAAAATTCTCCCCTGCTGGCTGATCTTCTCCTTCTCTCCTCCTTGCATAGTATGAAAAGCAGGCTCCTCAACAAAGGTCCAAGGCCATCTTCTTGTAAAGTCGGACCAATTATTGAGACAGAGTTCTGATAGAAAATCTTGTGTATAACACTTTTTGTTGTGATTTCTTTTTAACACCCTGGTTTCCCAAAGACTAGACTGTGAGCTCATGTTTTGCATACAGAATGTTACCATTATAGCCCAACATAAGAGATTGTGACAGCAGACCTGAGAAACATGGGACCATGATCTGCTTCAGTTTTCTGTATACAGGTAGTCCTCGACTTACAACAGTTAATTTAGTGACCGCTCGAAGTTACAATGGCACTGAACAAAGTGATTTATCACTATTTTTCATACTTAACAACCATTGCAGCATCCCCATAGTCACGTGATCAAAATTCAGATGTTTGGCAACTGACTCACATTTATGACAGTTGCAGTGTCCTGGGGACATGTGATCACCTTTTGACAAGCAAAGTCTATGGGGAAGCCAGATTCACTTAACAACTATGGTGAGAAAGGTCATAAAATGGGGCAAAACTCACTTAACAAATGTCTCACTTAGCAACAGAAACTTTGGACTCAATTGTGGTGGTAAATCGAGGGCTATCTGTATTGACAACGTCATGTAGAATCATTTGACGTGTTTTCCTTTTCCATGTCTTCAAATGCTTCCTTTCTTTTCCTTCAAATGTTCTTAAATGGAAGAAAGGTTTTGATGCCAGTGAAGACTCCATGAGGTAAATAGGAAAGAATAGCTGTAGAAAATGCAATCTTTGATGAGGGATTGTGTACTTCAGTTCATATTACAACTTCTTCTCATCTTCTCAGAAGGAAAGTCCCTGAAGAATGAGGAAATCCTGCAACTGCTCCCAGTTGGCACCACTGCTACTCTCTATTTTAAAGATTTAGGACCGCAAATTGGATGGACCATGGTAAGCACCTCAGCTTTGATATATTTTAATTAATTGCTGTTTTACCTCAATAATATCTTGCATTATGATGTTATTTAGGTTTTTCTCCAATACAAAATGGTAGAAAGCACCTCCCGCCTTTTTGTGTTCTTTTCTAAACTCAAATTGCTGGGATGAAGGATGCAAAAGGAAAAAAATATAATCACCAAAAAAACTTGGCAAGCAAGTCCATAGCAACGCAGCACTGGTTGCTTGGCAACCAGACAAAACCTAGCTTGTGTAATGTCTATATTAGGGGATGCAATAAGAAAGTAGGGAGAGGATGCAGCCCTCCAAAATTAGGGCGAGAAGGAAACAGTCATTTGATCCAATCATATGGAATGGTGCCAACTTTGGTAGAACAGAATCAATTCTTCCAACTTTTCATCTTTGCCTTCTGTTTTCTGAACTTCAGTGCCAGGAGAACCTAAACAGGTAAAGTGCTTCTTTGCACAAAGATGCTGTGACCAGCCCCTTTTCTGAATTGGCTTTTTGCCTGTCATATCTGCTAAAAGAACAAAAACAACATCTGATAAGGGAAAAGAAATTTTTAAAAAGACAGCGCTCAAGTGAGAATGTTAGATGATGCCAGGATTTGTGGCCACAACAATTTGTGAGCACAGTGGGTTATGTTATAATCTAGAGTCCTCCCTCTCCTTGTGTTTTTTTACTTATTTATTAGATTTTTATCCTGACTTTATTACTTTATAAGTAACTCAAGATGGCAAACATACCTAATGCTCCTTCCTCCTCCTATTTGTCCCATAAAACAACAACCCTATGAGGTGGGTTGAGCTGAGAGAGAGTGATTGGCTCAAAGTCCCTAGCTGGCTTTCATGTCTGAGGCAGAACTAGGTCTCACAGTCCCGTTTCCTAGACCAGCACCAATACATTGCTACCCAATCTTTGCCAGCCTAGCAATTTTCAGACTTGTTACACAGCCCAACATGTTGCCAAGTTAAGGACTACTTGCATATATCATAAGATAAAATGGGAACTTGATAACAAACCAACAATTTATACCTGGAATCAATGCACAAAATACAACTTGGTTGATTTAAAATAAGACCTATCCAGAAAATAAGCCCTAGACTGATTTTAAGTGTGTGTCTAATATAAGTCCACCCCCAAAATAAGCCCTAGTGAAGGGGGGCATGGCCAGCACAGGAGGTGGTGAGTGAGTGCGGGCTGATGGTGTCCAGCAGTAGCCAAAACCCTTGCAGCAGAGGTGAGTTGATTCCCTGTCCAACAACAGGCAGAGGCAGAGGCGGAGGGGGGGAGTCAGGCGATCTGGACGCGCCATTCGGGCCATCAGAAAGCTGAGAGTCGATGGGCTAGAGCAGCAGGTCGCTGGTCCAGCCCCCTGACTTTCAGCTTTCCAGCGGCCCGCGCAACATGTCCGGATTACCTGCCTCCCCCCCACCTCCCCGGTGCTCTGCCTCCATCTGCTTCTTGGACAGGGAATCAATTCACTTGCGTTGTGTGGGCTGCACAGCCCCAGAGTGCGCTGACCAAGGGCTGCAGCTGCTGCAAGATACCGTTGGTCCCCGTGTGCTTGCCGCCTCTTGTGCATGCGCTGCAGGTTGGGAGCCCAGCCAGGCTGATCACCCTGAAATCATATTTCCCCAAAAATAAGCCCTAGGGCTTATTTTGGAGCCCCCCAAAAATATAAGACCAGATCTTATTTTCAGGGAAACATGGTAGTTTGTTTTGAGCCATAATGCTTATAATGACCAACTGCAAGAGGTATTTTAATAGGCTTGTCTTATGCACTTGAGCCAATGTATCGTTCATTAACAGATACATAGAAAGAATATTAATATTTCATTTGCTTATCCCACCTTTTTTTCCCTTCTCCCATAGGAACACATTTGAACTGATCAGTCTCAGTTCTGAATTGGGGATTCAGCTTTTTGCCTTGAATCCAACCATCTAACCAGTCTGTGTTCTGTATTAAGCACTATTGTTTTCAATTGTGCTAAAGGCAACATCATCTCAGATTGCAAAATAACCACCGCAGTGTTTATACCGTTTCAAAGCTAAAATACAAGCAGCCACAATTTTTAGGCAATGAAGACAGTTATGTAAAATGGAAAAAAAAAATGACAACCTCAGGGGAAATAAGCAGAGTACTTTCTAGAGCAGTGTTTCTCAACAGTGGCAGTTTTAAGATATATGGGATTCACCAGCCAGCAAGTTAAAATGTTGGTTCAAAGTCTTGGCTATAGCAAATGATCATTCATCATCCATTCTGATTGGGAGAACTGCATGCAATGTTGATAGAGGGAGCTGGCTGGGCTACGCATCAGCTTTGTAATATTCCATGCAACCAAAAGGTAATGTTTTAATAAGCGTCTCTCTCTCTCTTTTGCAGGTGTTTTTGATAGAATATACGGGCCCACTGTTCATCTATTTTGTGTTTTATCTCCGTATGCCTTTTATCTATGGCCAGGATGACAGATTTACTTCAGGCCGACATCCAGTAGTTAAGTGAGTCTCACTTCTAGACTGGAGGTGTTTATTTTGGGGCATCACAGCTTTATGCCAAATGTCTTGCCCGATTTGTCTTTTTAGTTTTCTGAAACGCTTTTATCTTGCTGTTTCTAGCTTGGCATGTATCTGCCATTCTTTCCACTACATCAAAAGGTTGATTGAAACAATATTTGTTCATCGGTTCTCCCATGGGACTATGCCACTGAGGAATATTGTTAAGGTAAATTGCCACAAAATCTACTTGCAGCCCTTGAATGCAATCTAATCTGGCCACTCCCTATAGGAGCCCAGTTTGTAATACAACTTTGGGCCGTAAATGATGCTCTTCAAAATGAGGAACTGTTCTCTGTTAGCATTTAACATCCACTACTGAAATCTGCCATTCCAAAGTTTTGCTGCAAAACATGGGACTGCGATATCTGATCTTTTTTCCTCTAGCCAAGCGGGAAGATGCTCCTTGAGAGTGGCTTTCCTAGGACATGCTCTCCTGTTAAGACTGTGGAGTCGGTGGGTTTATTAGAATTACAGGGGCTTTACTACACCATGCTGATGCTTGAGTTGGCCTGCAGCTAACTTCACAATAGCAAGGTATATTTTACAGATTTTTTTAAAAAAATGTACTCCTAGACTTCAGCTCCATCAGCAAAACCGAGGGAATTTCTGGTTCATTAAAATGTTGCAAACTTGCAACTATCCTTGTGTAGAAAAAAATTGGACTTGGGACGATTTGCAAAATGTAACTTGATGCGCCTTCTCCTGGGATTGAACCATTCCAAATGCTTGTGGGGGATTGATTTGAATCCTTTGCTGTGTTAAAAATTCTTGAAGGAGGAAATGAAGTACAGTAGATTGAAAATGAGGCTAAAATCATTCTCTCTGGCTTTCTGGGTGTGTGTTTGTGTGTGTGTGTTTGTGTATTTTAAGGAGCAAAATGATCAATCACACGATCCCGCCCAATTCTGAGTTATCCTGAGCCAAAATAGGTGTTTCTGAATTTATAATTTGATCCTTAAATTAAGTGTTCTTTTAGGCGTTTCTGGAGGTATTGAATGATTTAAGAACAATGAAGCTAATAAATGTAGTGGTTTTTAAAAAAAAATAATGGTTAGGGTTAGGGTTGGTATATATCAGTGGTGGGTTCCTCTCGGTTCGGCCCGGTTCGGCCAAGCTGGTAGCGGTGATGATATGATGTCACCGAACCGGTTCTCTTTGCTCGGGAGGTGGGCCCTCCCGCCTCCCCCGCATTATTCTTACCTTTTATTTGGCCCCACCCCCAATCTATTGCTGCCTCCCGAGTCCCAGCTGATCAGCTAGAAGGAAAAAAACTGTTTAAATTCTTGCTGTGGGGCTTCAAAGGGCCACCCTACAGCTGATCAGTGTTAAAAGGCAGTGTGGTGGTAGACCGGTGCCTCCAAAAACAAATGAGTAGACTGGTGCCTCCAAAAACAAATGAGTAGACCGGTGCCTCCAAAAACAGATGGGTAGACCAGTGCCTCCAAAAACAAATAGGTAGACTGGTGCCTCCAAAAACAAATGGGTAGACCGGTGCCTCCAAAAACGAATGAGTAGACCGGTGCCTCCAAAAACAGATGGGTAGACCAGTGCCTCCAAAATGAATGAGTAGACTGGTGCCTCCAAAAACAGATGGGTAGACCAGTGCCTCCAAAACAAATGAGTAGACTGGTGCCTCCAAAAACAGATGGTAGACCGGTGCCTCCAAAACAAATGAGTAGACCGGTGCCTCCAAAAACAAATAGGTAGACTGGTGCCTCCAAAAACGAATGAGCCTTTGATTTTTGGACTTCTATGATATTTTCCCTCTATCTTTTGCTGTGGTGGGAGATGCACATAAAATAATCGCATATTGACTGTCTCTGATATATATAATATATCCAGATCAGATCACATTGTTTGTAAATAGTTGTTAATTTCCACTTGGTTTTGTATATAGAATTCTTGGGATGGGGGATACTGTTCCAAATTAAAAATACAGTGATTTTAGCAAAGATGTAATAATTCTTTAGGTCTTTAAGTGCTCTTAGCAGGCAGTTCTCATTAAGATTTTTGTTTCCTGATGCTGCATCTGGAGAATAAACTATCCAGTGGCAACTGGCCAGTTCTTTCATTAGTTCTTTCAATCTCCCCTGAAACAAAGACCACTTACTGTAGAAGCTGTTACTATTTGACCCAGATTATGTTCTTGAGAGAAAACACGTGCTTTGCTTGAATCTGGTTGTTTGCATTAATTAGAGCATTTGCTGCTGTATTTTGTTCAATGCAAGAGACAGTTTTTAACACACGTTTCTCTGCCACTGGAGAACATCGGGATGAATGAGGACAAACATAGCTATTCTCCAGGGACGGCCTTTTTCTGGCAGTTCAGATTATGTCTCGGAGCACATGATGCAAGAAAATGCCCTTTTAATTTCTGCCTAATTAACACGGTTTTCTGGCTCCCAGTATTTTCTGTGGGAAATGTCTCCCTCTCCCTCTCTCTTCTCTTTCTCTCTTTTTCCCTCTCTCTCTCATCTCTCTCTCTCTCATCACTCTCCCTCTCATCTCTCTCTCTCTTTCGCTCTCTCATATCTCCCTCATCTCTCTCTCTTTCTCTCTCTTTCATCTCTCTCTTTCTCCGTCTCTCTCTCTCTCTCTCTCTCATCTCTCTCTCTTCCTCCCTCTTTCTTCTCTCTCATCTCTCTCTCATCTCTCTCTCTTTCTCTCTTCTTTCTTTCTCTGTCTCTCATCTCTCTCTCCCTCTCATCTCTCTCTCCCTCATCTCTGTCTCTCTTTTGCTCTCTCTCTCTCTCATATCTCCCTAATCTCTCTCTCTCTCTTTCATCTCTCTCTTTCTCCCTCTTTCTTTCTCTCTCATCTCTGTCTCTTTCTCTCCTCTCTCTCTCTCTCTCTCTCTCTCTCTCTCATTCGCTCATCTCCCTCCCTCCCTCCCCCCTCTCTTTCTCTCTCTCATCTGTAGTTATGCAGGATTTACAGGCAATATTATTTGCAGGACCATTTTTTCCCAGATCCTTCTATTATGGTCCATTGGATCTAGGAGGAGAGGCATAGCTCTGGTTCCTGTCAATCAAGAATGTCCACTTGTGAGACTCAAGGAGAGGGTTTGTTTTTCGGTTGCTGTGTTGCCCTTTGGAACACCATTTCCCTTAAGATTAGGTGGCCCTGATCCTTCCGGCTTTTTGGAAGGTTTTCAAGACATGGATCTGTTCCAAAACATGGATTGTTAGAACCTGTAAGTAATTGTTATCTGCCTAGATTGGTTTAGCTTCTTGGCTATTGTCTGTTTTACATTACATGATTTGTATTTTTTAAATGTTCCACATTGCAGAATCACTATTCTATATATATCAAAGAAATAAACAAGTAAGGACCTTTACTATTTCTCTCCTGCCTTATTTTTTTTTATAAACAACTCAAGGCAGCGAACATATTTAAGCAAGTACTTTAAGGATGCATTCGGCTCTAGTCAAGAAGTGGATTATCGGTGCTGGCTCAGGATGTGAGGCCTGTAATCAAACTTTTAGATCAGCATTTCTCAACCCTGCTGGCTGGGGAATTCTGGGAATTGAAGTCCACACATCTTAAAGTTGTCTGGGTTGAGAAACCCTTATCTAGACAATAGTTTAGAGAGGGCTGAAACAACGATAAGAAGTCGGAAAGATTTAAGAGAAGGATGGTTTGAAAGCGCTTCCACAACATCTGATGGAAGGGGAATATTTTTTGTTATGGTATAGAGCAGACTCAGGAATTGCTGTCCTACAAAGTTAGTGTAGTTGAATTTAAAAGTGGAACAATGACTGTATGGCATTGGTCTGTTAAAAGTGACATTATAAATATACTATTACCTATTTTCATCTTCTGATATGAAGACGGGAGGTAGTTTCTTTCTAAAATGTGAAGAGGCAAAAATCTTTCAGGTATAATTATTTTCACAGTAAACTCCACATTTTTGATTGACGGTAGCCATCGCCAAATAGCTTCTTAATGGGGCTTCTATTATGTTAGTAATCAGCAGTGTTGGTGACTGGGGGGAAAAGGCAGTGGGGTTCAAAATGAAGAAAGAAGTTTTACAAAGCAAACCCCACTCTCTATCTCTGTTGCAGTGTCACTCACGCCTAAAAGGGGCAGAGCTTGCTGTATGACCCTGAAAGCTAAGAGAGAGAGAGACTGTCTTTGTAGTGTACAAAGTTAACACACAACTTTTTTCATTCTCCAAAGGCTCCTTTTCTCCCTTTATTCACTGCAGGAGGGAAGATTTCCCACAAATATAACATTTTTCTAGACCATCGTACCAGGCTTATTTTCCTTTGAGGTCACTGAGGTTCTTTTAGTTGGTTGTATAAAGGGCTACATATGCTAGTTGAACCATACTATAAGAGGCGAGATTTAAGATATTTGTTCTGTTGGAAGAAGAGGCAGTGTTATAAAAATGGGACATAAGGTCAGTAAGTTGTTTTGGCTTGTGTAGGATTATGGGTTGGCAGCTTTTAATCAGCTGCATTCTAACGTAAGATTCATTTCTAGGCACAATTACAATGCTGACACTGAGCTTTTAAGCTCTTTATGGTTGGGGTATTGGTACTTAGATTTCCTACTGGTATTTAAACTATCTGCTACTCATTTCACCCACGCATTCCACTTTCATGGTGCAGACTTGTGGCCCCTGAACTATTGAACCTAAATTCTTTCCTACCTGCTTCTAAAGTGAAATTCATGGTCTCAGAAAATTCTAAAAGAGGTAGCTGGAGCAGAGGACCTGCCCTCATGTCAAACCTGACTCACTCCATAGTTGCCTGTATCCAGGGGTGAAATCCAGCATGTTCTGACAGGTTCTGGAGAACCAGTAGTGGAAATTTTGAACAGTTCGGAGAACTGGCAAATACTACCTCTGCTGGCCCCAAAGTGGGGTGGGAATGGAGATTTTGCAATATCCTTCCTCCAGGAGTGGGGAGGGAATGGAGATTTTGCAGTATCCTTCCCCTGCCACGCCCACCAAGCCACGCCCACAGAACTGGTGAGAAAAAAATTGGATTTCACCACTGCCTGTACCTGCTTTGCCAAACAATGACGGGAGGAGGGTGGTAAGTTCCTAAGGGTGGAGGGAGGGAGGCTGTGACATGTAAGTGAACCGTCTGTTGCCAGAAATACGTTATCTAACAAGGCCAAGTGATGAAGAATTGTTTGACCAAAACAGACAGCTTTTCCTAAAGCAAAAGAATGCATTTGGTGAACTATGAATTGTGGGTGGCCCGGAGGGGAAAAGGGGAGTTACCTATGTGAGTTTTCGCAGGAAAATCCCAGAACTGACTTTGCTTCTGCTGTGTCTAGATGGATTTTTCAAGAAAGCTACACTCTTGGTTAATTTAAAAAGCCAAGAGTTTCTTTTGTTGAATGTGCCAGACAGGATGGTTGATACCTCAGCTATATCTCTAGATACCAAGAAAATTAAGAACAACTCAGAAATTGATTTAAGTTTATCCTGTTCCACAGAAGGATTTTGTTTGTTTACACAAACTCACAGATCCCTTTATATCCTGCTAGTTGAATTGCTATCAAGTCTGTGCTTCAAAAATAAACACTCTGACACAAGTTTTAGGTTTCATCCACCCATTAATATCCATAGGTCCTATTGTTATTTTTTAAATAAAAAGGACAAAATTAGTGTCACATCATCACACCCCAAACTCCTCTTCTTTTGGACTTTTATGCGATGTCACAACGTATATACAAAGGGATGGGGCTTACAATGCAATGCTGTTTTTATCAGACAGATCTCTAACCTATATCCACCTACTTCTTCAACTTGTCTTAGTGAAATGCTAGAAGATCCTGATGCTTGAATTTAACAGTGCAGCCATTATTTATAGATAAACACTAGCATAGGTTGATTTTGTTTGAAATAAGATGTAAGAAATAGTATTAATTTGCTTGAGGAATTTAAAGTCCATAATTACGCTGAATAAAATTGCCCTACTTGCCATCATTGATTGGAGAAGTTTGTGCCTCTAAAATATTCTGTATTAAAAATTTACCAAACTGGGCCTCATATTTAGCGAGCTCACTTCCAGAATGTTATAAATACTGTATGTCTATAACAGCAAGGTCTATAATTTTAAAAAGTGCTGCTAGGAATGTGAGATAAGTGTTTTTAAACATTTAAATAGCATTTACTGTTTTAAACATCTCTTTCTTTTAATCTTGTCATATAAACTATTTTTGGTAGCGTTAATACTGTAAATTGTTAGGAAATAATAATAAACTAAATTTTTTGTAGACTAAATCATAGGAAAAGCATACTAATTTGTTTCTTTGCACTTCATTTAAATCTTGTCATATAAACTATTTTTGGTAGCATTAATACTGCAAATTGTTAGGAAATAATAATAAACTGACATTTTTGTAGACTGAGAGTCATAGGGAAAGCATAATTTGTTTCTCTGCACTTCATTCACAGATATTTATTTCTTTGGTTCTGAGGAACAAAATAATGGGAAAGTTCTGAATTATATTTGAATCACTTAACTGGGGAAAAAGTCAAGTTGGGGATACTGTTATAATGGAAGAAACATAATTTCCCCGTATTTTGTTAACATAACTTGAGAATTAATTCTTCTTTGAATATGTGGTACCTGCTCACATTTTGTTTATATACATTAGGGTTAGATAAAGAATTTGAACTGACAACATAGTTCCTGAGTGCACACACTCTATATTTTCTGTAGACCTCTATAATATAAAAAATTAACAAAAATATAAATGACTTGTTTTACAGAATTGTTTCTATTACTGGGGATTTGCTGCCTGGCTTGCTTTTTATATCAATCATCCTCTTTACACACCACCATGTAAGTAGCAAAAAAAAAAAGAGGAAAAATCATTTGAATGTTTCATTCAGCTGAACCTTCATAAATATTTTCTTCTGCAGATTATGGACAAAAACAAGTCAATTTTGCTCTGATCATGTTCCTGGTAAGTATATTGCAAATTAAAAAATATATAGTAAGAAACATTTGTAATTGTTATTGTCACATTTAGTCAGTATGACCCTAGCATAATATTGGCATGTTGGTGTGATGAATCTAAAATCTTGCCAATAACAGGCCAGTAGTGAGCCAGTTTGGTGTAGTAGCCAAGGCACCAGGCTAGAATCCAGGAGACTGTGAGTTCTAGTCCTGTCTTAGGCCCAAAGCCAGCTGGATGACCTTGAGCCAGTCACTTGCTCTCAGCCCTAGGAATAAAATAACAAGGCCACTTCCAAACCTTGCCAAGAAAACTGCAATTTTCACCCACACTCAAAGGTCTCAAAACAGGAGACCAGGAACTGAAGGCCAGAGACATTCTCATTTCTCTGTCTTCCTTTTTCTTTTGATTTTCTTTTATTCCCATTGCAGCCAATGACAGAAAGCATGTTTAAGGCAGTTTTAAAGCAAATACACATTTCCTGTGTCATGGAGATAAGACACTCTGCTATTATTTTTTAGTGTTTTCCAACATTGTTTTTTCAAAAGCTGGTTAGAGGCATTTGGAAAGAAAAATGGAAGTAGTAGTTTACTTATTTTTAGAATTTATATCTCTTTATCTGCATTCTCTTCATATTTTTACACTTTGCAATAAGGAACAGGTATCTGAAGTTTGTCTCTGTACATGGCATATGAGATTAAGTGTCATCCTGGAAAATATGTTGCAATCTTCAAATAAATTAAGAGGGTGTATTGTGAGTGTTTTGAATTAGAAGTTGTCTTGGTAGAGGGCCAGTAAGGAAAAAGGGTGGAAAGAGAGGAGCAAGGTAAAATGAATGGAAATAAAATAACAACCTTAATAAAACATTGTGTTTTTAAAGTGAATGCTTTACCAAAGACCTTACTGTGATGTAGTAGTTACAGGACTGGAGAAGTTTTTTTCCCCATTTGACCAAGGAGCTTGCTGGTTGGTTTTCAGTCACTCACGTTTTCTCAGCCAAACAGCATAATTGTGAGAATAAAATTAGAGTATACCACTTTCCATGTTTCAAAGGAGTCACCTCCAAACAATTCCTTATGTGTATGACATCTTCAGGGTTTGTGTGGAGCTTGTCTTCTTGTGCCACACAAATTTCTGCATACTAAGATATTGTTTCTAGTAATTCTCTGGATGTTTATATTCTACTGGCAACTTCCTGAACTAATTTACACTAATTGGTATGTAATCAGAATACTTTGGCAGAAACTAGAAGCTCGTATGTGGTTTTAGCAAGGCTATTTGAGCCCTGTCCTTTGGTTTAGAAGAAAATTATCATGGTCAGATAGATCTTTTACCATGCTATTTATTTAGTTCTATTTGTAGCTCAACACCTATCAAAATGATCCCTATTGGCTCTTCCCAGAGACCAAGCCTGGCTTTTTCTCCCGCGCTGGGTCTATTCTGTGATGTGCATGTTTTTATCATTATCCTCAATTATGTGTAATGTCTTTGATTTTTTTGGGTTACTGTACTTATAATGTTATAAGGCTATCATTTATAATTTAGAAGGCTGCTCTTCTCAGAAATTGTGAAAAGGGCAGCCTTATAAATCTTCAGAATTAAGAAAATAAATGTGCTTTAAAACTGCTAGTATGATAACAGGCTTAAAGCAAAAAACTGAATAGTTTCTTTCCATATCTTAGCTACACAATACAAAACAGTATATATTATGAAAGTGTGGCTAGAAATTTGGCTATTTGCAAACATTGTTTGCAATTACCTTACCCTTTTAGAGTGTTCCAAGGAAGAAACTTTACTTAAAATTAGTTAAATACATATGGTACTCTACGCACGTTTTTAAGCGTTTCCATATAAGGGCAATAAAGGATCATCTGCAGAAGTATTTTCCTTCAGTGTTAATGAACAATGCATTGTTCTTGATTTCTTAAAGCAATGAAGGGTTTTATTTTTATGCAGAAACACAAAAGCTTCAATGTGTTTCTAGAGGAATCATCTGGGTTCCCATAGGAATGCACAATTTCAGTGCCCAGCTGTCAAGAGCAGTTGAGATACAGCACAGAGGTTGACAGAGCTAGCAAAATAACTCTTCCTCAGATTTTGAATAGCTATCTGAGCTGAATCCCCAGAGCCCCTAGATAATTTACAAGCTCGAAGATGAATCAGCCTTTTACACAAATAAATCAAATCTTAACTTTTTGTCTTGGCAGTTTGGGGAATGACCTAGTAGAAGAGCTGTCATCTAAATCAAATGTTTGTAATAATTCGTAACAACTGAAGCTTTACAGGTAGTCCTCAGCTTATGACCATTCAAAGCTATATGTGTTGAAAAAAAGTGATTTATGATTGATCTTTGCCCTTAAAACTGATGCAGTCTTCCTGTGGTCACTATCAAAATTCAGGAGCCTGGCAGTTGGCTACAATGTACTGATGTCATGTGATAGTCAATTGCAATCTTCCCAGAGAGCTTCTGACAAGCAAAGTCCATGAGGGAAGTTGGATTTAGTTAATGATCATGTGATTCACTGAATAACCATGGCAAAAAAAAAAATGGTAAAATCAGGCATAACTTACCTTGTAACCACACTGCTTAGTGATAGAGGTTCCAGCCCCAATTGTGTTGTAAGTCAAGGACTACCTGTATTTGAAGATGTGTCAAAAAAGCTGTAACACCATGCAATCCAGAGGTACCATGGTGTAAACAGAAATTAGATTTTGCTTTTAAAACAGAACAAAAGAGATGAGATTTTTAAGGAATTCTTCCCTAATTGGTTTTTTCCAGACTTGTTAGGGCTCTCTGTGAATCCGCACTCAGAATAGAAGCCCAATCTATCTGAAGTGGACCAAATGGGTCCACTAACCCATTTGTGGACCCATTAGAGAACTAACTCTCTCAAATTAGGGAAAAAACATACTGAGAGCCCTCCTCTCTATTTAAACTGCCTTTTCTTTCATTGCCTCTATTTTCATCCACTTTCTCATTCTCTCTCATTGCAGACGTGTGAAGCTGGAAACTTTTCTATCCATATTACACTTAGTAATCTGAGAAGAGATGGAAAAAGCTGAGTGTTTTGCTTCTAATTAAATACTGTTGAGGTTACTGTTGACTTACATTTATATTGAATAAATATATAGGTGAATAGGGGGAATCTTACAAAGAGCTCTTCCATGAATCTGGCTGATCTCAACAGCTTGCTGTACAAAGTAAAATGAGATAAATATGGCTGTAAGAAAATGCTATAGTGTGGAACATTCTCGCTTTGGGTTTTAGTTGCTCCAGGATTTTGTAGTCTATCTATTTTGTATCTCCATCCCTACTTTTCCGCAAGATTCAGCAGCCTTTGTCCCATGAGCATGCTTACTTGTTATAACCTCTTTTTTTCCAATGTCATCTTCTGCCCCAGTTACGGGGGAAGAAATCTGTCTCCTTTTTTCTTTCTGATTGAGCTATCTTTGATCAACATACTATCATTACAGGTCATCCTCGACTTACAACAGTTTGTTTAGTGACCAGTCAAAGTTACAGCGCACTGAAAAAAGTGACATGACCATTTTTCACATATATGACCCATGGCCATGTGATCAAAAATCAGATCAGCCAATTGGTTCATATTTATGATGGTGGCAGCGTCCAAGGGTCATGTGATCACCTTTTGCGACCTTCTGACAAGCAATGTCAATGGGCAAGACAGATTCATTTAACAATGAATCAGTTAACTAACTTAACTGCAATGATTCACTTATCACTGTGGCAAGGAAAGTTGTAAAATGGGGCAAAACTCACTTAACTCACTTAGCAACATAAATTTGGGGCTCAAGTGTGATTGTAAGTCGAGGACTACCTATATCATTGGGCAATTGTGAGACTCAGCCCTTAGAAACATAGGCATTTCTTTGAAATTGCTTCCCCTTCTTTAACTGCTTATCTAGAAGGGTTGGCAGTGGTGGGACTGCTGAAAGATAGATGCATTAATTATACATTAATACTGTAAAATGCTTTGAGAATTGAAATATCTCTGGTAGGGTACCTCAATGAAAAAAGCAAGTGAACTATAAATTGATATGAGAATAATAATTACATCCATATGATTGATGCTACCTACCAAGCCTCATGCTAGAAAAAATATTGGATGTATTTAAAAAAACCTACACAAAGCAGAGCAGGTAGTTTAAAATTTTTTGGATCTTTCAATTGATAGGATCCAAGACCTGTAAGATCCCTTATCCAACGAAGAATCCTTTCACGTGGCTATTTTATTTTGTGTCATGCCCCAATTATACCTATGAGGTAAGCACTTTTAATATTGCAAAATTTTGGTTTTGCTTGATGTATATATGCTTAATGTTGCTATAGGGACACTTATTAAAACACTTGAAAGCTTGAACTGCACCCTTAAATATGTCCCTATGTATGACAAACCACCGAATTCTGTACTTCACAGAACCTGCTCAGAATACTACTTGAGAAGGGAAACTAAGAGAAAAAATGAATGCAGAAACATAGCGTAAGCAATAGGTGAAATCGCTGCATAGTATTTCTTGCAGATGACGGATTGCCTCAGATTTGCTACAGTTTCAAGGACACCGGAAAAAATGAATAACATTCTTTTAAAGAACTGCAAATGGAAAGACCTACTGTAAATCAGTAATAAATTAGAAATGTATGTAAATGGAAACATTTGTGGAAAACAGATTATGCAGAAGCAGTTTAGACAGATAGTTTTCTAATTTATTTTACGTGGGCCATTTGAATATATTTGAATACATCAAGCTATTTTAGCTTCACAGTCTTTTTTGATATAAACCTGTGAAGGGGAGGAGGTAAATTTTGAAATAGTAGGATATCTCTAGGTGATTTTGCAAGGCTTTACAATTCCTAGTACTATAAAGTAAAAAAACTAACCAGAATTTCTCCATTTCACTGTAGATTATATACCTAAAAAGATGTTTAGTATAATGATCAGAAGTGAATTTTTATGTTCAATGTATGAGGAGAAAAGAGGGAATTACTAATTTTTAAAAATAAATCATCAAAATTTTATTATTTTAAAATTGCCTCCAGGAAGGAGAGTCCTAGCAATACAACTCAAACCATTTTGCTGTTATACTGTTTCTGCTCCTTAATAAACATGGTAAATTGAGGCAAAAAAGAGCATTACAGGCAGGCAGTTGATATATAGCATTAACATTAGATACACCTCATTAAATTCTATGATTGTGAGGCATGCCAATTGCGGCAATAAAATTCTCAAAGCACTCGTGTATGTCTTTTTACCATCATCTTCAATTAGTAGATGTCAGTGCTTTTCTTTTAAAGGCCCTACACATTGTATCTCTGCCTACTAATATTTAAGAACTGTATTCCTTCTTTACTTTATCTTAATTAACTTAGTTGGGAAATATTTTCACACTCTTATTCGGAAGATCTTAAAGCAGAAGTTCATATATGTAGCGACGCATTTCCAAGATATTGGCTGTGTCTTTAATTAGTTGCATGTTTATGTTTTATTTCTTTTGTTTTACAAACTGATATTAAAACTAGTTATGTTTGATTATTTTAATATAAAGGGACTAGTTGCATTTAGCAATTTTAATCATGTGAAATAGTTCTAAATCTTCTTGGCCATTACAGCTGGGAACGTGGATTGGTTTTACTATCATGACTCAGTGCGTTTCAGGTGAATAGCATTCTTGGTTTTAAAATTTTGGGGTATTTACTCTCAATAGAATATTTTGTAATGTTAATGACCTTTTCTCTCTCTTGCAGTGGGATTGTTCACCTTGCTGTGTTTCATTCAGATGACGATCTGGGCAAAGGACAAACACTGCACTTATATACGAGAGTTTAAGGACTACCCTAGTTTTAGAATGTCCATCATTCCTTTCTTATTATAAGAACAATGTTTTTTTCCCTTTCTAAATTATAAGCAGCAAAATGGATGGACGTCCAAGAAGACTGTTGGCAATGGAGCCAAGATATGAAAATAATTTAGATTGATTATTTCAGATGCATGTTAATACTGTGCTACAGTGAGAGGGGCTCACAATATGCAGGTTTTAGCATTGACTCCTCTTTTTTTTTCATCTTATTGCCTTAAGGGTCATGAAACACATTCATATTTTATTTCAGTTTGATCCGCCAAAGTAAAAGATAAGTAGATGGTTTTGATGCTTCTCTGGGTTAGACTCCGAGAAAAAAAAATCATGAGCATCCATACTGCATCCAAAAGAGAAAACAAGGTTGCATCTGGTATAAGATGCTTGCTATAGCAAGCAGTACAGGTCATTTATGGGAAACCTCTAGCCTACAGGCCTAATCTGGTTTATGAGGCCAGCATGTTACAGCCTGGGGGCCTTGGCCTTAATCTAACCTGCACTGAAACCTGTCTCAATCCCCCAAGGGCCCCTCTCATCACTGCCCTGCTGATTGGAAGCACACCCAGTGCATGGCTTTCCCAGGGAATACTCACTATAGACAGATCGTCTAAGAGTTGCCTTTTGCTTCCCCTCAAAATGGAGGATCTACAGCAGCCCCAGTCAGGTTCTCCCTGTACTGTATTTCTTTTGATTGGGTAATGTGCACACTTGACATTGGCATCTGTTTCTAACCACAATGGCGCCAAAGTGACTTATCAAAATCTTCATGCTTGCATAGTAACATCCCACAAAATACATAGAGAACGAGTTTACATTGCAAGGCACATTTCTTCACAGTTGTCCTATTCTTTATAGATAGCAATATATATTGGACAATTAGAAGAGCAACTTGTGGAGAATGCACAGCGGAAAGTGTTCCATGAGATTTATGACTCCCTTTAGTCCTGAATGGAGAAAACTATGTTTCCCCATTCTCATTCTGCATAGAAAAGGAACAGAGATTATTTTAAACTCTACTATATCCTGAAATTATAACCCATCGGGCCAAAGAGATTCAGACCAAGACTGGATCCAATTCCCAACCCTTGTTTAGAACATGGTACACAGAACTAGAGTAGGATCACAAGGAAAGGAAGCAGTCAATACACCATCTGGTGACCCTACCAATAAGCTACTCAGAGTTGCTTATGATTGAGGTACAATTAAGCTTAGTAAAATAAACAGAAACATAAGTTTCTGTGGAGATTGCCTATAAAAATATCCCCAATAAAAATAGACCTTGGGTTGATGGGAGTTGGGACCGGGATTGCTGTCACTGAGCAACACAGTCATAAAGTATGACATGCATGGCCTCATTGCTAAGCAATCCCAGGCACCCCGTGTTGCCATCAAAACTCCAGGATGGATGGGTCATTAAGCAGGAGTTTCAAGTAAGGAGCTTGGGATGCCACAGGTGCTAGCATAGCCTGTGTATGAGTTGGGGGAAGGGGTGCTACAATGGAGCACAAGTGCAGGGAGGCTGAAGTAAGGAGAGGAGAGTGTAATACGTGGCACAGCAAGGCCGGTGGGGTGGGGGGCAACATGAGCAACTTGCAACCTTCTCTGCCAGCTTTCCCATTGACTTTGCTGTGCATGCAACATAATTTCATTTTAATGTATGCCGATTAGTGTACATTCAAAGTGACAATAGTCTATCCTATCCTATCCTACCCTATCCTATCCTATCCTATCCTATCCTATCCTTTTGGGAAAGTAGCAGGGAAGGTCGCAAATGGCAATCACATGACTTCAGGATGCTGCAACTGTTTTAAATTGCAAGCTGCTTGCCAAGATTATGATCTGCTTGTTCAGATCATAATCATATGGCCATGTGGACACTGCAATAGCTGGAACTTTGATGACCGTTTATAAATACACATCTAATGCTGTCACAACTTCAGTTGCTGAACAAGTAGTCTTGGCAAGCAAAGCTACCAATAAAAATAAAATTGACTGAAGGTAACAAAATAGATAAGGCAATGGATATTTACCCAGTCTTTGGCATGTTCTGTCTTCATGAAGCCCTATTAGATAGGGGATGCATTCCCTACATTAACTTCACCACATCCTGCAAGCTGGTGCTTTAGCTAAAGCTAAAGTATCTTATACTACCTGCATTTCTCATGCTTGGAAAGGCTTATGTTTATACTTCAATTCTATGCACACTTATTTGACTGTAAGTCTTATTGGTGTGACTTACTTTCAAGTAAACATGCATAGCAGCAGGTTACCTATCGACTGCTGTCCTCCAGCCTTATGCGTGGATGCAAGGAAATATTAAACAATCCTGCATTATATTTTCCCCTAAAATGCCCCATGTATTTTTTTAAAAAATGTGTGCAAAATTGTATCAAGAAATCAGTACAATGTTGTCTTAAATTTTTAAGAAGTCTGTAGCAACAAAGGAACCTGGGATGTTTCAGATTTATTTCTCTAGAAATAATGTACATTTTTCAGCTATTTGTAAAGAGATAATATGTAATAAACTGAAACTTTTATTTTAAACTTGATTGAAATTACTGTGTGACTAGAACATCCAACCAGAAAAGCAATATGCTCAATCATATCAATGATATGTAAAAATTTAAAAAATACCCCAACTTTACACATAGAAACTCTAAAGTCTTTGTACAGCACGCAATACTTCTGGGAAGGTAGTTTGGAAATCAGTTGTAAGTAGCCCTTGACTTATGGTTGGTCACTTTTGACTGTTCAAAGTTGCAATGGACCCTCCCCCAAAACTACTTATGAACCTTTTGTGCTTCTAACTTGAGGACTAGTTGTAATTATTTTTCTACTAAATATTCAAATGTTCTGTAAAACTCATTAAACAGACATGAGTTTATGGATGCCTTGTTAGTCCAACTTAGGTCAAGAAACCTTGAGCTGCAGTCTTGCCAGTAGTGGATGTTCTGTTTCTGAAGATATTCTGAAGGATAGCAATAGTATAGTAGCAATAGCACTTACACTTATATACCACTTCACAGTGCTTTACAGGCCTCTCTAAGCAGTTTACAAAGTCAGCATATTGCCCCCAACAATCTGAGTCCTCATTTTACTGACCTCAGAAGGCTGAGGTCAACCTTGAACTGGTGAGACTTGAACTGCCGAAGTGCTGGCAATTGGCAGTCAGCAAAAGTAGCCTGCAACAGTACTGCATTCTAACCACTGTGCCAGTGGTGGGTTGCCTCCGGTTTGGACCGGTTCTATAGAACCGGTAGTAAAACTGGAGGGAGGCTCCGCCCACTGACCCCAACATCATCAGAATGCTTCTGCGTATGCACAGAAAAGCACATGCACGAGCAAAGCTCTCTCATGTGTGGCCCCGTTGCGAACCGGTAGTAAAGGTAAGTAGAACCCACCCCTGCACTGCGCCACCACAGCTCGGTAGCTGCTGTTTTAAAGATTTGAACTATTCCAAGTGGGTCTTGCATAATGTTTGTTCTGAATAAAAATGGTCAGAATACCATGAACCAAGATACTGAAAAATTAAAACTTTCCCATTCGTCCATAACATTTGGCCATTACATAGCAGGCAGTGTGGGCTATTCTCAGCCATACATCTGTCAGATTAGAATTCACTGCCCTCATTCTGGTTCTTACTAAAAATCTGTAATGTTATTCCACTTTCTTTAAAGTTTGGAAGATTTCTGTCAGTCTGGTCTTCAGCAACTGGAAATTTTGGCGTAGCTGCCACACAGCTTTTATTTGCTTATGTGCCGATAGACAACAGGAGTCACTTTCATCTCTCTATTAGCTCCAGCTGCACGAGGGTGTAGAGGAATCTCCTCATCCTCCATCTGCTGTTTAGCGAAATTCACAAAAACCTGTGGGAGAAAAGCAGAGAAATGTACAGCAGGAACTATCCTAGGAAGCCAAATTCTGGTAGAAATTGGGATTATAAAATATATATATGACAAAATGTGTGATGATGCCACAACACAAACCCTGGCCTTTTGTATTTGCATCCTGACATTTACATTAGTCACGGGGTTTGTGTTGTGATTTCATGTCATCTGCTCCTCTACAAACACTTAGTGGAGGAGATAAATCCAGAAACTGTCCAGAAAGTTAATAAGATTTGGGTGAAAAAAAATCTTCCCCCAGTGATTTTCATTCACAGGCTGATCTGGCAGAAGTAATAGTATGCTAATTTAGGATGATTTTGAAAGTTGGCATACTTAACAAAACTTTTTTCTGCAAACAAAATATTTTTTATTATTTATTCATTTATTTGTTTGTTTAAATTTATATGGCAGCCTTCCAATGACTACTCTAGATGGCTTACAGAAAATAAAAACACAATGTAGAAGGAATAAAAATCAGAAAAAATCAGAAAATAATAAAATAACCCCCAGCCACCTGCTTGGCGACAACATACACTCATATCAGCCATTTAATGGGCTCCATCCCACTCTGGGTTCCCCAGGCCTGCTGGCAAAACCACATGTTCAGGGGCAGTATAATTTCTGGAGGGATGAAGTTCCAGAAGGAGGGAGCCACCATGGAGAAGGCCTTCTTCTGGGTGCCACAGGATGTACCTCCTTAGGGGCAGGACCGCAACACTCCTTGCCTTTATAAATCTGCATTAAATCCATACCAAGGGGGTATAAGCAGCAATGGATCACTATTCTACAGAGACAGAAAAATCCGAAACCAAACCAAACCAAACCATGATTATCGTGAAATTCCTCTGCAACTACAAAAAATGTTTAAAAGATAAGTGCTTGCTGAAATGTCAATTGTCCCACTGGATGTGACTCAACTGCACTTTTAAATAAATGAACTTCTGCACCAAAGTGGGAAACTGAATTACCCCCGTTTCTAATATATAGTACTGAAATAGTTTCTGTAGTTGGGCTGTGGAAGATTTCCATTTTCAGAATAACTTAATTTACCTGATCTAGAGTAGTTTGTGAGATAGAGTATTCTTCAATATTTAGGTTCTCTTTGTTGGAGAGAATCAACCTAAAGATCTTGGCCAGTGAGTAGGTACATATTTGGTACTGCAGCATGTTATAGTGCTTTTCTCTCTGTATCCCTCTTGGAAAGTTGTGGCACATGAATTGTTCTACTTGGTTGAGATCTGGAAGTAAGCCAAGTTTAGGCGCCTTGATTTTCATTGTAACAATGTAACCATCTCCATATCTGTAAGATATCCATGGTTCATTAAGTTATAAGCTTGTGCAGTAATATTCACATTTATTTTATGAGAAACTTCATAAAGGAAGCACATAATTATTAAATTACATCCTTTCATAAATCCTTAACCATGAACAGGAGATACCAATCTTCAGCTTACTTGTATTTGAGATCCTGGATGGTGCCCAGACATTTGAAGGTGCCTTTAGCCATGATAGCTATGCGTGTACAGAGCGCCTCACATTCTTCCATGCTTGTAAAATGAAAAACACGTTGCACTTTACATTTAACATACAAAACAAGAATCTGATTTCAACAGATTGATCCCCTATGGGGATAAAGAATTGGTAATGCTGGCAGTCATCAATCTTTACATTTTATTTTATTCACGTTTTAGCATTTACAAAGCTTTTTAACAAGCTTTTGCTATACATTCACACTATCTCATAGAATGTATATGCTGTTGTCTTTCATTTGGAGCATTCTCATGTTTAACCATCACCATTCTTTCTCTATGTTTTGTTCTGCAAAGCTGTTTTTTTTTAAAAAAAAAAAATCATGGCAAACAAAAAGCAGGTGCAAGTCACCTGCAAGACTTCTAGAGCAGTGGTCTCCAACCTTGGCAAATTTAAGCCTGGAGGACTTCAACTCCCAGAATTCCCCAGCCAGCTTTAAGCCTGGAGGAGTTGAAGTCCTCCAGGCTTAAAGTTGCCAAGGTTGGAGACCCCTGTTCTAATCTAGAGGACAGTCAAGGCATTTGCTAAGACTGAAACACCTGTATTCTCCAAGTATGAAGCAGCCATTTCCCAAAGCTTTGGGGGTTGCTACTAGACCAATTTTCTGATACCCTCAAGTGAAATGAAGATAATCTTTTCTCTGCTGCCTCCTACAATGGATTAAAAACAAAGTGGAGAGTGGGTACATACATTCCCAACTTAAACAAACTGAAATAAATTGCTGTCACTGTATAATTTGTGGACCTCTCTGAAGCCATTTTAGCAAAACCTAAAATCTAAAGATTTATAGTGCAGGTGGGAATAATTAAACATTATTATCGGGACACAAAATTGTAATTTTAAAAAAGTAAAATAAGGAGATAGTAGAGTATTATTGTAATGCACACTGGGATGGGCCCAGACAAACGAGTTCAATTCCCCCGTTCCTCTATGAAGCTAATTCAATGACCTGAACCAGCCATTATCTCCCAGCTTATTCTATCTCAGCAGGCTTGCTGTGAGGATAAAATGCCAGGAGACAGTAATTCCTTAAAGGAAGGGCAGAATCAAGGGGCTGAGGATTCTCCTTGCCTTAAGAAAGTGAAGGGGAAAGGTAGGCTTTTCCTTGACATGGGAGTTTCCCAGCTAAAATCTGAAGTGGAGGAAAAGCATCTGAATGCGCTGTGAGTGTTAACCAGGATATACAATTCAATTTATCTTGATGGGAGCAGGTCTTACATTACCTGTGGGAGGTAAGAACCACAGCTCTTCCATCTCTGATCACACTGAAGATTGAGTTCCATAAGAAGCGTCGGGACTGAGGGTCCATTCCCGTAGTTGGTTCATCCTATGAGAACAGGAATATAGCCAACTAATAAGTTTTCTCAAGAATAGATGGTGAAGCAGTCCCTCCCTTGTAAAAAAAAGTAATATTCTCAGAGTTCCGGTTATTTATTTGTATCCCACCTTTATTATTTTTACAAATAACTCAAGGCAATGAACATATCCAACACAATTTCCTCCTTTGGCGTTTTACAGGCTTACTCTTGTGTGTGCTAAAACGTAACTTTTTCAAGGTCTAGATGCTATGTGTCTCATCTTTCAGAAGAAAAGGTGTACCTCAGCAATAAGAATTGTCTAAAATAGCGTGATCTAGCTTAGCAGTGTTCGTTGAGTAGAAAAGGAAAGACAGACTATTAGCAGATTCTGCAAAGAGCTTTTCCAAACCAAAAGTAACTATGGTGTAGGGCAGGGGTCCCCAAACATGGCAGCTTTAAGACTTGTGGACTTCAATTCCCAGAATTCTCCAGCCAGCATAGTTGCAAAATTTGAAGACCTCTGGTGTAGGGAAAGGACAGGCAAAGTCTAAGGGTGGAGTTAAGAGCAGAATCAGCCTAGAGTTCATACATTCGTACGATTTAGGTCCATCCACTCTTGAATTCTGTTGACCTTTATTTAGTGCCTATTAGTGCTGATAGCATGTGGATAAGCATGAGCAATAAATCATCACACCTAGAAATTAATGTGTGGTCCTGATTCTTTGCACCTGACCTATAGTGGTTGGATAAAGCTTTGGGTCCCAAAAATTATTGAAGTGAATTTCTTCCTCAGTTTTCCAGAGCTGTTTTGGCAACTAATAGTTACCTT